TGTGAGCGCCATCCTTTGCAAGACCATCAAAAACAAAGCTTTGTTCCTTAGGGACCCAACCCAACCGTGCATTCATGTTAGAGAGGATGTCTCTAGCTTCAGCCAAGAAATGAGCTAAAGTCCAGGGATCACTGTCACAATCAGCTAACCACTTGATTGTATATGCGAAATTTCCTTTTATGAATATATTAAAGTAGCCCAAATCTCTTGCAATCTTGATTCTAGTCAAGGCTGCCATGACTTCAGCCTTTGTTGAAGAGGCTATCCCAATTGGTTCATTGAAAATCCAACTGATTGTATCATGTCTTCTAAAAATTCCACCAATTCCTGCTATACCAAGATTTCCGATGACACTTCCATCAAAATACAAGATTTTCTCCCCTTCCTCTATAGATCTATTGATTTGGGAGGTGGTAAATGACATGTGTTTAGAGAATAGGAGGTTTACAGCATTCCTTTGAAGATCAGAGATGTAGACTCCTTTGAAATACTCTGAACTAGAGGTCCAAAGGAAGAATCTATAAGAAATGATTGGCATGATCTTCTAGTGGTTTCTTATTCTGTTGTTGAAAATACAATCATTTCTCTCTTCCAAAATGCTCCAAGGGATAGCATGAGCTTCTGAATGCCACAACGTCTTCCCTCTTTTGCTTAAACCTCTTCTTGACCATTGTGTGAGACAATCTATCACATGTTCTGGGAAGATCCAACTGTAATTGAATATAGTGTGGAAGAAAATCTAAAGTTTCCTGGTTTCCTCACAATGTAGCAGTATGTGATTGGCTGATTCTCCATCTTTTAAGAAGAAGCAACAAACATGTGGGAGTAAATAAAATCTTCCATGGTTCTTTTTGGATGAAGGTCATAAGTATTGATCCTCTTTAGAGCTTTTCACACAAAAAAGCAAACTCTGGAAGGAAAATGGGGGCACCAAATTCTCTGGAAGGGGAACTAATCAATTATCTGTTCTTCCTCGGTTAAAGCCCTAGAGCAAGGCTTGGTTGAAAACTTACCAATTGGATGGAGGGCCCAAACTTGAATGTCAGGGGTATTTAGTGATAGGTTTGCTTCTTTGAGGGTGTGCAGAAAACTAGTAACTTCATTGAGTTCATTGTCTCTCAAAGGTCTTCTAAGGTTTAAGTCCAATTGAACTGAGAATGGGATGAGGACAAAATATGGGATATGTGCCCTTGGTGGAGTCGGCCTTGGAACCAAACTTGCCCTGAAATAAACTCCAAAATATAAAATGTGAAGATTTGAACCCATGCACTCATTTTTACAAAATCCATGGTCTCACTTGACCATTAAAGTACCCAAGTAATTTGATTATTTGTTTTTCTTTTAGTATCTGAATATGCATTATAAATAATGTAAAAGGTAACATTTACAAAATTTAAATTATAATATGATAAATTTTGAAGCATATGTTAATATATTATGATAATCTACACATTGAGTTAGTCAATTTAATCAATAAAACATAATATAATTGTTAAATTATATATTATCATTATTGAAAATCAACTTTTAAAGGACATGTTTCATTTTTTAAGAGGAATAGTAGACAAAGATCAGGTTCCACGGGTAGACCCCAGAACCGAACTTCATAGGATAGGTTCTGGTTCCAAAAACCTGGAACTGACTGCTACAAGGTAGGTCCAGGTTTTGCCATGGAATTGAACCAAACTAACCCATGCTCACCCCTAATTACAGTTATGCATTAGAAATATATCCTTTGTCATTCAGTGGAGATGTTCCCAGTGCACGATGGTGGTGCTCTATGGGTAGAGAAGTGGCCATGTGGGAACAATTTGTGAATAATAGATCTAGAGTGCAACTCATCAAGTGGTCTAACCATACTTAGTAGGCACAAAGAAAAAAAAAACTTGTTGGAAAGAAAATGATAAAAGGTTACAACAATATCTTTCTCTCCCTCTCTCTCTCTCGATATATATATATATATACAATGAAGTATAGAAATTTTCTCCTTTTTTTGAATTTTTGTAATCTATGTCATTTTTGAAACTACCAATTAAAAAATCTCTCTCTCTCTCTCTCTCTATCTCTCTCTCTCCCCCCCTACACTTTCCAATAACCTAAATAATCTAATATCGTAAAATTTCTCCTAAACAACCTCCCCCATTATCCCCAACTTTCTCATAAGCTATCTCTAATTTAGTAGAGAATTTCTCTCCTAAATTATCTCTAATTCTTATTTATCTTCTCTCTCACTCTTTATCTACATCTATCTAAAGAAAGTTTGAATTAAAAAAGTTAATAATTATTTAAATATTCTAGTAAAATTATATAATAACTTTAAAATATTTATTAAAAAGACAAAAATAATTATAATTGATTTAATAATATTCATATTATTAATAATTATATATTTTTACAAAATTCATCACGAAATTATGTACAAATAATATAAATTATGATTTTCTGGATTAAAAATGAAATATTATTTAAATATTTCAGTAACTAAATATCTTAAATAAAAAATATTTTAAATAACAAAATTATGTATTAATAGTACTATAATTTGATGGATTATTAAATTCAACAAGTAGTTAATATTTTAAAATTTAAAAAATGATATTAAATGATATTATTTCATTAAATAAATAATATTGTAAATAACTAATTTCATTTATACCAATTAATAATTCTAGAAAATAACTTTCAAAAAAATTATTGTTTAATAATAATAGCTTTAAAACTTAATCTTTATTTATTATATATTAATCTATACTAAATTAATATTTATTGTATTTCAATAATTATTTATTGTTTTTTGTGATAAATATATTTTCAATAATTATGTATAAATTTATTTTTGTTTTGTTATTTAATAGAAAATTTTCAATAATTATTAGAGTTTAAACTATTGTTATTTAGCTTTTTAAATTTAATTTATTGTGTACTTTCGCTATAAATTTTTAATAATTATTGGAGATTAAACTATTCTTTACGGGTTGGTTCGGTTCAGTTGTAGGTTGTTTGGCCAACCAAATTGACTTGGTTAGGTTGGGGGATTGGTCACTCAGGTTATATCGGTTTGGGTCAATTATCGGTTTGGTCAATTAGTTCAAAAGATTTAAACTTAAAAAATTAAATTTACGATATAAACTATTTTAGCCTAAGAAATATTGGAATTTTCTCACTTTGCTATATTTAAAAATGTATTTAAAATATAAAATATTAATATATATCTATGGTTGGGCCGCTCGATTTTAGTCAGTTTACAAATGGCCAAAGTGAAAATGGTCCAACCTAATCAGGTTGGGAAATTGTTGAACCAAAGCTAACTGGGAATACTAGAAATCGGGTTAGTCAGTTTCATTAGTTTAATTTGGAATGGAAACGGGGCAGGGCGGGGACAAGGAACCTCTTCCTATCCCCGTCCCCACGAAAATCCCCATTCATGTTCTCGTCCCTATCCCCACTAATGGGGACAAAGTTATCCCATCCCCGTCTCCACGGGGATCCCCACTCCTCGTGATTCTTTATAATGTCAACCATTATGTTTTTTTTTTATTTTATTTAAAAAAATAAAATAATTAAAATTTACAATCCTAATAGAAAAGATTCAAACATATTCAACCATATTTTTAAAAATATTAACACATAGACGTATGTGTACATATATAAACGTATGTGTATATATACATATATATTAGCAGGGATCCCATGGGATGGGGATCGGGGTCCACTCGGGGCAGGGAGTGCTCTCCCCGTCCCCGCCAATAGGGATGAAAATTTCCCCATTCTGTCCTCGTGGGGGGAAAATCATCCCCATCCCCGCCCCATTTGAGGTAAATCCCTACGGGGATCGGGGAAATGGGGAAAATTGTCATCCCTAAGTTTGATAAACAATCCTATCTAAAACTAATTATTGTTATTTTTGTATTGTAAAAAAAAATATTAAAAGTAGTATATAAAATATAAATGATTATTAATTATTATATAAAAACAATTGTATACTCTTACGTGTTTCTATTGTTTATCTTTAACTTAACAAATCCCGTGCATCGCACGGGTTCCCACTAGTAAGAAATTAAAATTTAGGCTTAATGAGAAGGCCGAAGAGGCCTACTAGAAGAAAGAAAAGGGAAGAAATGTCGAAATAAATAGAAGAAAATGAACAGTAAAAATGCCTGATGTCAACCAAATTCTGTCTACTCAGCGGTTCAACCTACATGTGGTCTAACATACTAAGTAAGTGCAACATGAAGCTTGTCAAGAAATCAACTTTTTAAGGACATGTTTCATTTCTTAAAAGGAAGAGTAAACAAAGAACAGGTTCCATGGGCAGGCCCCGGAACCGATCTTTTACAAGATAGGTTCCGGTTCCAAAAACTTGGAACCGACCCCTATAAGGTAGGTCCAGGTTCTGCCATGGAACTGAACCAAATTGACCCATGGTGCTTTGTGGGTAGAGATGTGGTCATGTGGGAACAATTTGTGAGTAACAAATCCGGAGTGCAACCCATCAGGTGGTCCACCACTCTAACTCTAACCATTATGAGTAGGCACAAAGAAAAAACTTGTTGGAAAGAAAATGATAAAAAGGTTATGACAATATAAGAAATTAAAATTCAGACTTTGAATGAAAAGGCTCAAGAGACCTACCGGAAGAAAATAAGGGAAAAAATGTCGAAATAAATAGATGAAAAAGAACAGTAAAAATGTCTGTCTAACGTCAACCAATTTACCAAATGCGGTCTACTCAGCGGTTCAATCCATCAGGTGGTTTAACATAGTTACTGAGGAAGCGCAAAATTAAACCCATCAGGCATTCAGGTGGTCTAATGCTGAGTAAGCGCAAAATTAACTTGTCAAGAATGGGATTCGAACCCATGCCCTTTCGGACTAGTACCTGAAACTAGCGCCTTAGACCAACTCGGCCATCTTGACTTTGATGCCTGTAAACCTATAATTTCTTTGAAATACAAGAAAATCAGAAACAGTAACCCGTAGTTGTGCAAAGATGAATAGATGATGACGGAGCGCGGACGGTTGGATTCAGGTTCAGGGGGAGCGCAGAGAGGCGATCAACGTACGCAGATGGCGGACGGTTGGATTCGGGTCCTGGTCGAAGCCATACACTCAAGTCCCACGCAGGCTGTTCTCTATCTCACCGGCGGAGCTTCTCAGGTTCCACGCCATCCTTGCTTCCTCTGTTCTCTATGTAACAAACTTGTCAGTTTAATCTTCACCACCATCTTCTTCTTCTGGAATTATTTGACAAATAATCGAGAAAAATAAAAAATTGAGCAGTCTCTTGGCTGGTTGATGTCCATCCCCGGAGCTTCGAATACGGTCCTAGAAGCTGTCGTCCCTTATTCCAGAATGTCCATGACCCAATTGCTTGGCAAGGTAGAAAAACGATTTGTTCCCCTTCATTAGTAATTTAAAATTTGATGATCAATTTCCCGCCAAATGGACGTTTTGATGTGATAATAGAACATATACAGTTGAAATTTTAGTCTGTTTCATTATATATGGATTAATTCGAATATAGATTCATATAAACATGATTGTGGAATATTTCTTGAAGAGGTTTACGAATTCTTCAATACATTCGTCTAAGTCGGAATTAACGAGATCTCTCTATTATTATGCAGATTCCAACACATTTCACTGGTCAGCAAACTGTTGAAGAATTGGCGTTGTTGGCTTACAACCGTGCATTGAAGCTCTCTAGTCCAGGTTCTGTATAATGCATGTCTAACTGCATGAAATGAATACTTCTCATTACAACTGTGCCTGGCGATATTTAAGCACTTTTATTTAGTTAAGGATATCGATTATGGTAAATGGAAATTGAGATGTGCTAAACTATAATTGTTATTTTTATCTGGTCTCTTTCATCGTTCATTGTTCAAACTTCAGGATTCTGCCACTAGATAAAAATATTCCTATAGTTACAGCTGAATATAATTCAATTTCCTTTAAAAAGATATATATATATATATATATATATATATATATATACAGAGAGAGAGAGAGAGAGAGTCTTGCTACTTTTTCCAGTATGCAAGTATTTAAGCATCTTAAACTGAGTACTTGTTTCTGCTTCAAAAAACTCAGTTATTACTTGTGTGGTGTAACGTGGACATATCTTTAATAGGTTTCCCAGTTGTTGGGGTGGGGTTCACTGGTTCTTTGGCTAGCACACGTCCAAAACTTGGGGATCACAGGTATTGTTTTTCATGATTTCCTTTTTCACTTGTTCTTCATGTAAACATGAGTTCTGTAATTTTTTTTTTTKTTYTTKTWAAWKYTTTTTTTTTTTTTTTTTTTAAATTCCAGCCTGCTTGCAGTTTTTATATTGATGTTAAAACTGTAGCAACCCCCAGTTATTTGAATACATTACACCACTTGTATGATGTATGGTGTAAATTAAAGGCAATACTTGTTTGCTGGACTAAATATGTAACCTATTTCCTATCATGGGTCTTCACTATATGCATAACTCTAGCTATACATCCAACTCCTAGTTAAGTCTTGAATCTTGATATTATTAATAAATTGGAAAAAACACAATTATAAAAACTCTTCTCAATGGATCTTATATCATTTTATTTTGGTTAAAATTCCCTTCTCATTCTAGAACTAATTTCTAATTCATGAATTTAAGAGAGCCTTATCCACTGCTCATAGAAAATCATACTATTTGTGGCTTTATTGGAAGATTTAATGTAAGCTAAGAAGATAGTGCTCTTGTGTTATGAGATATGATTTCAATTTGCATTGTCAGGTACAACTTAGTATATGATCTTTGAATTCCATTTAAAAGGTATATCAACATAGTGGCTTTATAGTTGGAGAAAGTGGTTAAGTTAACAACTGTTGTTTTGGTTATGAATTGGCCTTCATTTTGCTGCAGAGAACTAAAAAATTAAAATTATATGCTTTAATCTATGTGAGGTTTTCTCTGAATAGATTTGAAGAGTTCATTTTTACTTGAGGATAAACCAAAATAATTTCACTATACATTTTTTTACCTACATCACTATGTATTATGTTTTCATTACTTATTTGGCTGTATTACATGTATGATACAAGTGTTGCCTTTCTTACCAGAGCCTCTTATTTATACAGAGGATTTCTATTTTGAGCATTTTCTAAATCCATCAGTTTTATACTTCATGGTCTACCAGATTCCAAGACTTCAAAATGGAATTGGATTCTGACATTCATATTCCTAATCCTACAATAGAAGTTGTGATTACTGTGTTTAGCGTTTCTTCCTGGTCTTCTTTTTCCCCCACTCTTCATTTTCCTTTTTATTGTGTTAGTTTCAATGTCCATTGGATCTTTTAATTTGAAAATATGATATTTTTCCCCTTTGGAATATGGAACTCAGCTTTTTGTTATTTTGTCATATATAGATTTTATGTCTCAACAAGGACATCTGGTCGACTTTGGGTCTCTAATGTTACCTTGTCAAAGGTATTTTCCATGTTTCTTTTGGTTCTTATTTTGATCTCTATAGGTATTGAGACATATAATTTAATTACTCTTTCCACTGAATGTCATTGTTAGGGTTTGAGAACTCGTGAACACGAAGACAAGGTTTCAAGTCATTATTTGCTCAAGGTGCATCATTGATACTAAGCGTAAAATTATATTAATGCCATTTTCTTATTAAGAAAATGCTTTAAAGAAAGTTGCAAATTTATTCTAGTCACTTGACATTAGGGCATAAAATGGGTCTGAACTGGAGCAGATCTAGTTAGATCTGGCTTCAATTCCAAAAAGAGAAATCTTTCATCTGATCCAGTTCCGGATTCAACTCAGGTCCATCGTATGAGATATGTGATGTGCAACTTTTTCAAAGATGAACTGTACTTGCATTGAATTAGAAATTTATCACGTCTGGTTTGATTGACCATGCAAATTGTCTAGGACATTCAAGATTTGAAAGATAGGGTGTTCCCATGGATGATATTTGTGGTGTAATATATATTTTTCTTAAAGAAGATTTTGTAAATCTTTTCTTCTGGTTTTCTCTGTATAATAATTTTGTAGAAATTTCTCAAATTTGAATATCTTGTCATAAACTATAGATGATTGATGATTGAGGCATTATGGCCATGTTTTTAATTTTTATTTCTGGACATAGTTGAATGTGGCATTTTGGAATTCTTAACTTTGTTTATTTGATGTATTTGATAATTTACTTGATGATGTTATAACCTTACATATCTTTATCATCAGCCTTGTCTTTTATTCCTTTCTGGTGTAGGCAATTGCTGATGCATGCAGAGTCTCGGCAACTTTTACTTCAGAACTGAATGAATCAGAAGTTCCCGATGAATGTGAAACTCTCTTTGATGAGGATCAAGAATTGCACCAACTTATAAATGGAGAAATATGCATGAAAGTTTATCCATTTTCAAATGGTATAATGTAATTTGCAGATTGGATTCAACACAAAAGAGAAGGCATATTTTACTGGATTTTGTCTATTATTTATTCATGAAGAACCGAATTTGCAGATACAAATAACTCCAATTCAGAGAGAAAAATAATATTATCTGGTTCATTTAATCCTTTGCATGATGGACATCTCAAACTCTTGGATGTTGCTACCAGGTAAATGAATCCTTGTATAGAGCTTTTTGTCTGGAACTTTTCAGTTGAATTTGTAATGAAAGGTAAATAAATAAATAAATAGAACCAAGTCTAGTTTTGATGCATAAATGGTTCATAATTTTTTCCCATGTTCCAACTATTTCTAATTACCTGCATGAATTCTGTTATTCTATTTCACTTGCTTGTCTAGGATTTAGTTTCTGAACAAGAAACATAATTACATTTGATATTGTCAGAACCAAATTTTTGCACTTCATAGTTACTGGCAAACCATCCATAGGGTGTGAAGTACATTTTGTCAGGTGTAAATAACAGATAGAAGACCACCTATTACAAATGCAAGGGTAGCCTTCTAGCCCTTTCAACTTGTAACGGATTGCTTCTTCTTATGGGTGCTGTAGGTGGTCTTCCATGTGCATGACCAAACCATCTTAGTCTATTTTCTCTCATTTTATCATCTATTCGATCTACTTCTAGATTCCTTTGAATGATTTTATTTCTGACCCTATCCTTTTTAGTTTTTTCCACTCGCCCATCTCAACATACACATTTCTGCCTCACTCATTCACATGTTGTTTCTTGACTACCCAACACTTCACTCCATACAGCATAGGCGGCCTTACAATTGTTCTATAAAATTTTCCTTTTAATCTAAGTGGTATTCACCTATTACATAAGACTATAGAGATGGGGCTGATGGGTCTTTTGGTGCTGTTATGGAGGGTGAACAACCATGGGTATAGTGGTTATTTTGTATATGATGTACAAGGGTGTAAATAACAGATAGAGACTCACACTTAATACTTTTTGCTTTTCTTCTAACCTGTATTCTCTTCTCTTCCTCTTTCTCTTCCAGATAAGCACGTATTCTCTTCTATGTTAACCCTTAATCTGAGAAGTGATAAAAACTTTTTAGAGCAAAAAGGTGAAGAAATCCAACCTGAACTCAACCCAAACCCAATTCAACCTGATGCCACCTTTGGGTTGGGTTGGGTTAAGTTAGGGTTGAGGTTGGATTGGGACATGGTTTGCCACTAGACCTGTTCATGGGCCGGGCTTTGTATATGTATCAACAGAATACACTCAGGCCCAAGCCCGAGCCCAACCCGACCATTGGGCCTAGGTCTTGTGTCTGAGCCCGAACCCAGCCAAAAACTTGAAAACAGATTTTTTTCTTTTTTTATTCAATAAAATGTGTTTTATTTATATTAAAAACCTTAAAAACTCAAAAATAATAAACATCTCACTATTACTTGGAAAAAAGAGAAGAAGAACAAAGAAAAGTATTGTATATATATATTTTTTATTAAATAAAATATATTTTTATTATTTAGCATATAGTATCAAGTCAAGCTCGGGATTTTTTGAGAAAGCCCGAGCCCGGCCCGAAAAAAAGTCGGGCCTGGTGCTTTAGGCCCGAGCCCGAGCCTGTGGGTCTAAAATTATGACCAAGCCTGACTTATAACGGGATGGGCCAGGCCGGGCCAGCCCGTCGGGCTACCCGGCCCATGAACAGGTCTAATTTGCACCTTCAACTTGTACTTTGTAATATCTATACATTCATTTCTAGTCCAGTTATGAGTTATAATATATATTGCTTATTTTTATGTATGCACACACAAACCTATTAGAGAAACATGCTATTATAATTCCTTCCTTATGAATTATCCCTTTCTTATGTAGCTTCTGTGGTGATGGCTATCCATGTTTTGAGATTTCAGCAATCAATGCAGACAAACCTCCTTTGACGGTGTCTCAAATCAAAGATCGCGTTAAGCAATTTGAAAAAGTTGGTGAGTCTTACCCTGTTTATCTAATTTCTTATTTATTTTTAAATAGATAAGATTTATATTTCTTTTAATTTTAATAATAAGATGACTATCTTCTGGTGCTATAGTGAATAGTCTGGATCATTTCTTCTCAGGAGATGGGGTACTGATGTAGGACCAGCTCAGTTCTAGTCCTTAGAGAATGTTGAATGGTCTTCTTGGATCAGAATTTTATGGCTGTAATGGCTTCTTGAAGGAATAAGAGAGAAAATAGGGAGAGAAAATACCTGGAATCACTCACAGGGTGCCTAGAATCACTCTAGGGCATGGGAATCACTCACCATAGTTGGCATAAGCTGAAGAAAACTCATAAACTTCGTTGCTTTTTGTGTAAAATGTCCATACATATTTATAGACTCTAAACTCATAATAATCCTAAGAATCAAGCTGTTAGACTCATAATAGTCTTAGGAGTCAAACTGTTGGACTCAATAATCCTAGTAGGACTCAAACTAAGCTGTCATATCCTATTTTCAATTCAAGGAAGACTCAATAACTCTAATCCTATTTATGCAATGACTCTGGAATTTCAAACATAAACAAACTATAAATAGACAATCAAACCCTATTATTGGACCTTACAGAAAAATTGTAAAATGGCAAAAATACCCTTGGTGTTCAATTCTGTCCAAATCCCAAGTACCATCACTATGCCATATCAGGACCTGTTGTAAGGCCTTCTTCTTTCTAGAATAAGTCTTAAGGGTGCTGATTGATTCCTATGAGGTACTATTTTGTTTCTTTTTAGTGTTTGAGATATTCTCTGTTAGCAATGTTATTTTTTTTTCTTATTTATTTATTGATGTTGAGGGTGTTATGAAATATAAGGGTAGTAATTAGACCTAGATTTAGACTGATGTGTGGGGAATTGAAGGAAAGAAAGCAAAATTACTTATTCAGTAGCAAAAGAATATAATGTGCCAGATCTTTAGTTAAACAAAAGTGGTTACACCTGAGTGGTTGAAAGTTTTAGATATTCATATCTCATAGTTTTTCTATTTGAAAGATATATTAGGTAAGTTGTGATATTAGTGTCTAAATCTTTGTATTGGCTTGCCTTCTACTTTCTATAAAATTTATGATGTATTGCCCTATGTGTGATTACTGCTAGCAAGTCTGGTGGTAAACCAACTAAGAACAGTAAAACTAGACCCAGAAGAAAGACCAAAAATAACTTGAGAAAGAGTCATACAAATAATTGAAATGATGTAAATGAGTCCTAGCCTGTAAAACTGGCAAGATGACTAGGAATTGATGCCATTTATTCCCAGATCAAAGTTCACACTTCAGCTTAGTCATGCATGTTCTTTTCATAAAAAGAATCCAGTTTAATGCAAGACATTTCCTTAAGTTCTGATGGCATCCTTATTAGGAGGACAGATGGGATTTCTATATACTAATACTAGTGGATTAGGACTGGTATTTTCAGGAATCTATTAATATTAGTGATACAATGTTAGCCTCTGTGAAGAAGACAGTTTTCATAAATGGATTTACAATGCTTAAGTGTGAACCTAATGTATTCCTTTCAATCCCCTGGTGGAAGGAATGGTTTCTATCCAATGGTTTTGACCTTATGAATGCCTCTTTGATTCTGGGGACAACATCATGATTAATTTTGTTTTGGTTAGTTTTCCATAATATGTATCACTCGGGCTTAAAATTTGGATGTGACATGAAATGCAGATCCATTGTGTTATACTAATCTGTCTACCTGGGCTACATAATCATTTTTTTTTATGCAGATACGTAGTTTCTTTAACTTCAATTCTATTCAATGGCAGGTAAGACTGTAATTATTTCCAATCAGCCATACTTCTACAAGAAAGCAGAACTCTTCCCTGGCAGTGCATTTGTAATTGGTGCTGACACTGCTGCAAGGCTTATTAATGTATGTAATATCTGCCTGCTTAAAATAATTTTCTTTTTCATGAGAAATGATATTTGCATGCGATCTTGTACATTTTTTGCCTGCTCATGCTGTAAGTATGGGTATACTTTTTTGAAGTCCAACCAGGTAGTGTTGTTAGCCTTGATTACCTTTTAATTCATGCGGTAAGGTTTATCTTTTTGTTTTGTTTGTTTTACCATTATTAGATAATTCAGTTGTGAATCTATTTAAGAGTTTTATAGTTGGGTTGGTGGTACAGAGTGGGGTGTAGAGCTGATTTATGCTCTCCACCCTTATTTTCTTTTTCTCGATTCTCTTGCTTTGGTTTCACTTTCTTCCTTATTTCCTTGTATCTGCTATTAATAGCTTAAATTGCTTCTGGTAGCTGGGGATAGCCTCAAACAGGATTGCTAATGGTGGTTATTGATGTTAACTAGAGTAGTGTTGTCATATTTTCTTTGCAATTGACGTTCTATTAACTGTATTTCAAGAATTCCAGGGATTTCATAAAGCGTGTACCCTTCAATTAAATACTCTTATATACATGTATATGCTAACTAACCAACATTTCATGTTCTATGAGGGCATAAGTGAGTTGTTTTATCTGACTAGTTGTTTGGAGCTGGTTCCCAATAACAATCTTCTACTTCATTCACTGCTAGTATGTGCAGAAATAAATGCCTGAAGATGCTTTGATGAAGTTGGTTTAGACACTTTTTTCAATCAAATTCAACTTGGAGTCTTTTAGAATTCTGTACTATGACTTTCCGTCCTTCATAACATGAGAGAAGATTGTTAAGTTGGGAAGATAACTTAAGGTTATACTTGTTTTTATATAAACCATATCTCTTGTATTTTCAGCCAAAATACTATGGTGGAGATTATAGTAAGATGCTGGAGATACTGATCGGATGCAAAAGAACAGGATGCACTTTTCTTGTAGGTGGTCGAAATGTTGATGGTGTTTTCAAGGTACATCTAGATTAAAAAACTTGCAAACTGTCCTTGTCCCTTTTTCCACTTTTCAATGACCTTTGCAAAATAATCTAATGTCTCGTGAAAATATCAGGTTCTTGAAGATTTTGACATTCCCAGGGAGTTACAGGACATGTTTATCTCAATACCAGAGGAAAAGTTTCGCATGGATATCTCCTCGACAGAAATAAGAAAAAGACAAGGAATGTAAATCTCATATTAAAAATGAGAAATTGATGTATTTAGGGACCATCCATACTCTTAATTGTTGATGTCCAAGTGATACTATGAAAAAGGAGAATAAGAGGGAGGCTAATTCAAAGTATAAAGAGAACAAATGGATGTAAATGTTAAAACTCTTTTCTTCCCTTTTGCCCTTTAACAGTCTATTACCATTTTTATACTTATTAAAATAATGTAACAGAACCACATGATTTTGGTCATTTATAAGCTTTTTGACTCACTCTCCAATGGTTGGTGGATAACATTCACAGTCCAGCCGGCTCAGTTCTGCCATTTATTTGTACTTCCTCTCCACTCATAACCAATGCAAGTTGAATAGGTTGGAATCTGAAGAGAACAAAGAGATGGCTCCAGTTGTTTGGTCCAACCTGCTCCACAGATGACGTGGGCACGTAGTGTTTGTTGAGGTGGTAGCAACTTCTACATCCACTAGCTCTAGTGTTCCCCTAATGAGTTTTTAGTCTTTTGACATGAAGGCATGGCGTCTTTAGGTGGAATTGGGTGGTCTGTATTTCACTCACTAATCAGCAACACTTGAGTATGGTTGAAAAGCTATTCCCATGGACTTCGCTGATGTTCTCTTTGTTCTTTTTTCTACCATGTTTCTTTCTTCTTTCCGTCGTGTGTTGCAAAGTGGAAATTAAGAAATTTTGTATTGATATTTGATAGAAGCAGTATTCTTGCAGACCCAATTTGACCATGCATTTGGATAAGCTTCAGGATTTGTGTTTTTAAAGCCCAAAATACAAAGCAAAAGAAGTGTTTTGACTTTAGATTATGATGTTAAAAGAAGCACTTACAAAATGCTTACAACCCCTTTTGTTTTATCGCCTATAAAGCTCAAAAGCAGAAGCTTATCCAAACATATAAAATGTTGGCAATTGATCTCAGCTCTTTAGAAATACGACCAATCTTGATGGATAGGGTTCTAATCTCATTGAGGTAAGGTAATGGATTAGTCTCCACGGTTTTCAACCAAACATGTATTATGGTATTGCTTTGAAGTTTGATCGTATCTTCAACCGAAGTGTTGGCAAGCTTTTACTTAGCTTGTAAGACGGCCATCTGTATCAAAATAGGTCCTGCCAAGGCCTTCCGGCCTTCCCTACAACACATTAGCACGAGAGAATAAAGGCCATCTTAAGGGGTAAGACCAGAGAAGTGGAGAAAGTTCACCATGTTCCTTCTAAACATCGTACTTGATGCCAATCCCCTATTAGTAAACTCGTTATTCGTTTGCCGAGTTAGACTATTATAATTTTCTCATATAAGAGGCAAATTTAACGCCTTAAGGTTTGAAGTTTGAACCATCAGCTAGATTCTAGATAGTGGGTCTTAGCATAGTAGTTCTCTTTAACATAATAGTGGAGTTAAGGCCAGGGAAGAGGGGAAGGATAAAAATGGTTTAACCAGATAACTGTGGCTTGAACCAACTGTTAACAAGACAGTTTTGGGTCTAATTGTGAATAATGGTTTAGAAGATCTGATACCCGACCATTATAATTAGGAACATAGTTACAATTATAATGGAGTTTGCCTCACAGAGTAGTCGTAGGTGTGTAAAGCTAATTGCATGAATGAAGTGTCCAGTGATGCTAGAAACTAGAAAGTGTTGATCAGTTTCAGGCTTTGAGCTAGTAATGGGTAGATGCTTACATGTACATACACCATCTGTTCCAATAACTAACCAATGTTTCCAACCTATATGAATCAACAACCAGAACTAGTACATCCCCAAGAAGTTGCCATTACTTATATGCCAGCTCAAAGCAATGGAATCTTAGAACAAGAACAATTGCTTGCAACTAGAAAACAAGGAATAGAACTTGAATAGAAGGGTGAGGGTCATGGATCATGGTTGAATTGATTCTTTTGTGCCTCCACCTGTGTATATCAGTAAGTAGTTGGGCGTGGGGTCTATGCACCACACTCTGCACCGCACCCGGCAGCGCATCCTCCACTGTAAACATTGGATTCGGCCGCGGCAGTTCGGTCTTTTGATGCACCATCTGCACAAGAAAAGATGACAACTGAGATGAGAGAAAGGGTGGCCAAAATCACCAAGAACAGAACACCAGGGAAGCCTACACCACCATTCCTTCCATCCCCAACCCCAAGTACAACTACCATCTCTTTCCATTGCCTTGCCATCTATTTCTCTCCTCTCTCTCACTCTCACTCTCGTGCCCTTTGTTTGTGTATGTGTATCTTTGCGAGACGAACTGCCCCCACCCACTGCCTTCTTATCCTTGTCCACCTTCACTTTTTTCTGAGTGGAATCTCTCTCTCTCTCTCTCATATTAACATTTTCAGCACTTTATGTAATTCTTTCTTTGTTTTGTTGCATTAGAATTGGCAGAAAATAGTAGTAGTATCAGCAAGTTTGACACTGGGAGAAAGGGTCAACACCGCAATAGTTAATGGGACGTGGGTCGGCAGATCCCACTGTGATTTGTCAAAAGTTGATCGGTCCATATCTGCTCTTAGCTATGGAAACACCCTCAAAGGCTTCTTGTAGATTCTTTTGATGGTTGACTTGGGGAGGTTGGGTCTGGTCCAGTCTCATCCTGATATTTTATTGTCATACCAGAGGCCTTGGCCCAATATAAGCTGATAGCTTTTATTGATTTCTAATTATTTATGTATCATATCATGTGGTAGCCTCCTAAGGCTAGCTTAAATAGCATAAATGATCTATGGAAAATAAAAGCTCCCTTCAACTGTTCCCACAATATTTTGTTGGCCGTGGAGGGAGACAGTCTGTTCTGTTACACAATCTCAATCCAACCATTTCTTTTACAATTTAAGTAGGACTCGTCTGGTCTTTCTTCACAATTATTGTTGAACTTAAAATTAGTCGTCTGTTGAAAATGAAGTTTATAATAAAAAATTTAAAACAAAAAGCCAGAACCTTTTCTTTACTTGCACCCTCCAATATTTACATCATGAATGGGAGACTAACTTAACTGTAGAAAAACCCAAAAGTTTGATATGATGGTCTTCTTTATCAAGTGCAGACTACAGACTTAGAAACTGGAAACCTTCATCAACTACTTATATGTGCAAGCTTTTTAAATACTGGCCCAGTTACTGGGGCCCACTTACATGGGTTTACCATCAATGTGACATTTGGTCGGGGCCCATCAGCTCAATGGACCTGATCTTTCCGCGTCTTATCATTAATTTTTAGGTACAGCCGTGCAAAATATGGAAACATTTAATTAGTGGTGTGCCCCTTCTGTTAATATGGGTTGTGCCTAATTCACACCTTTTGAGTTTGAGAAAATTATAATTTTAGAGTAGAACAATGCAACTGTGGCCTTGTTGCATGGTGCAGCCCTAAATCTTCCCACAGGATTATACTAATGTAGATGAATTACTATTATTATAGTTCAGTAGTCTTGTAGACCTTCAACTTTTACTCCAATGATTGTTGGATATTTTCTAGGTTTTAATTTTCTACATGAAGGTCAGGGCCTCTTATGAATCTTAGTGGACCAACCGATTTGAAATAAAACCTTTATATAATAAATGAAATTCAAGGCAGTCTCTAGAGCCAGTGGCTAGGACCCCTAGAATGGCATGGGGATTGATAATTTGAGACGTTTCTCGTATAGCCATAGACATGTTCTTGCTATGAGTGGCTGTGGATAAGAAACCCATTTGAAATAATACCTATAATAGCTGAAATATGGCTGATGTTTAGTTGTATGTAAAATACGGGAAAATAAATTAACTTTTTTCCTGATAAATGCAATTTATGGTCTTTGTTTACTTGTGAAATGGATGAAGAGAATTCAAAAGTGACTGTCAATCATAGGAAATCTAATAATTCCTGTAAATTTTGCTTTCCAAGTCAGTAGTGTTCAAGCACCAGAAGAATTATGAATAGGCTTCATTCTCCTATTGGATATAATCCAGAAGGCACTACAATCAAAATTATTTGCATTTTATTAGTAAAGAAAAATGTTTTAAACGTTTTTGAATGAGTAGTTCCCCTGAGCAATTATAGTGAAACAGGGACCAGTTTGGGAAGAGAAGATGCATGGACCATTTAGGCAGGCAGCCAGACCACTACCGAGAGTTATGAAGTGGTCTTTGATGGCTGGCACACTATCCCATGGAGGATTCCTGGGTTCGCCACTACCTACAAAGTTATATTAGCCTATGAGCAAGAAATGCTGCAGCCTCGATAAGTTACGCCATCACATTGGAATTCAAAGCTCTCCTGCTCTCTCTAAGGCCTCTTAAGTTGCGCTCCCATATGGAAAAGCAAATTCACACTAATAATGCAAATGCATAGTGACCCTTTAGCTTTAGCTTTTGCCTTGATGATTTTATGAAAGATTCATTCTCTCTTTTCACAAGTTAGATCTTTAAGCTCACATGGGTAGAGATTTTTTTTTTTTTTTGTCTTCTGGATGGAGCAAGAATGCCAGAATTAATGTATTTAGTTACTTACAAATGTTTCAATGCTCCAAAGTCATCAAGAAGTTGGTAGAAGATACCTGCTATATATATATATATATATATACATTAAAGTTATTGTAGCCCACGTTCTTTGTATATAATAGAAATAGACAATTATCCATCTTCACTTTCTTTTGTTTTGTTTTCTGGAGATCTGAATGCCAGAATGTATTTGGTAAAGAAATCAAAAGTAGAAAGTCAATATGTATTACAAAGGATCTATTGAAGTTGTACCGCATCTTCCTTAATATAGATTAGAAATTTGTCAAAATCACATGGGATTGCTGTCATTCTTATCTCTGTTCATATATAGATGTCTTCTTCACTATTGACGACAAAACTTGGTGTTCTAATGCTTCTGGGTGGGACTTGACTGGTGTGATGGTCATCATAATATTTACACACTATGGTCCAATAGTATTCTCAGTCTTAGGCTCTTAGCGTTTGAGAATTATACATCCAAAGAAAGCTACCCACAACTAGGGATGTTAATTGGATTGGATTTGGTCCAATCGTTTTAATTTAGATTGGTTTCAACTCAAACCTGGTCCATTGACACCTATATTCTTATCTTATATCAATGGATCAGATATTGGCTTAATCCAATTCAATCCAATATAAATTTATTATGGATAAATTAGGTCCCATTCAATCTTAATAAATATTTTGAACTGGATTGGTCCAATCCAATATGTCTTGTTAATCTGTTCAATCCATCCAATTTGATTTTGGACTGGGCAGGGTCCAGTC